TCATTCTCACACAGGGGCCCCAGACAAGGCTGCGTAAACAGGAGTCTCAAATACTGTCAGTTCTTCACTTTCAAAACTTGCTGTTCAGACCCAGATGTGGTGCTCAGTGCAGATGGCAATAATAGGACTCAAGCTGGTCCTGCTACTACAGTTATAGCTCGAACCTTCCCTTCTCCACAAAGAGGCCGAGCTCACCTCAAGCGAGGCACAGATGAAAATGTCTGCAAAGGTGATTAAGTGCTTTTTATGTATAGCATTGCTTGTCGAAGACTAGAATTCATACATAAATGCGCGGCGCATATGTTAAATGGGACTACCTACACGAAAATCAAAGACTTTTTGATCACACATGACTTAAAATGCTTTGATGATCATCAACTTGTTGCTCCTAATCTGACCTAATTACATCAAGCCCCTTCCAAACTTTGCAGTTGGAAAGAACTGGCACCTATATCCCTTATTTTGTCTACGAAAGAATGATGCCCCCCAACTCCCTCCACCAGATGCATAAGCTCTGTGTATAAGCATAAGTTATCAAGTTACTCTTAATAAATATTTACCTCTTTCGCTAATTGCCTAAGAGGAATGTTGACCATTTTCTGTTTCCTTTCTGTGATCAAGTTGACAAACCTGCAAGCAGGTTACAGAAATGATAAATGATTACCAAGAGCTGCAGAGAAACTTGGAACCCCTGAGAAAAATCCCCCACATGCTGCGGTCCCGGAGATGCAAAGTGAAATTAGACTGGTGAATAATGCTATCTGCCCAGGTCTCTCACAGCACACTGGTCTGCCTACCTTACCAGAGCCAGCCCATAAGAGAGGATGAGCTCATGCGACTTCAACCTGCCAGATGAGTCCAGGACCTTACAACGGATCAGTTCAGCGGTGCAATCCACTGCAAGAGGCATTTTGGGACCATACCTAGATAGAAAGGAAACACAGGTGAGCAGTCTCACAAGAATACATCCCCCCTGCAAAAAAAGGGTAACTTTTGGGCTACGCTTTGTGCTCTATGCTAGCTAACACCCTGAGAAACAATATGCAAAAAGTCAGGAGAGGCTCTTCCCAGATGGTTTTTATTTACAACAGCGATCACATCACTACACCTAGGCACATGTAAAATGAGTACTCACGGATACACTAAGCACTCTCACAATACAAGATGCCGTATCTAGACTGCTCTTGCCTATGGATGCAGCAGAGGCAACACAGACTGAGGTGATCTGGGGGCCCTGCACCGCTCACGGCAGCACTGCCTCGGGAAACCCGCCTGTGAAGCTGCGAGCACCCACGGCTCCTACTCCCCCCGCTGCTTCTGCAGGAACCACACGCTCGAAGCACCGGCAACCGGCCGGGTCCGGAGCACCCTATGAACCCGACACAGAGAGCGGCGGGAGCAGGCCGGAGGAGGCCCCGCAGCGCTCCGTGCCCGCGGTGCGCGGCCCGTACCGACTCTTCCAGGCCGAGACCCGGTCCAGCGCCTCCTGCTGCAGCCGGCTGTCCCCGCAGTACAGCCCCACCATCACCTGGTCCCACTCCGCCCTGCCCCTCCACGCTACCACAGTCCGCAGCGGCCTGAGCCGCTTGCGGGCCGGGGATCGGGACCAGCCTCGCCGCCCGCGGCGCCACGACTCCCCCGCGCTGCCCGCCATGAACCCGGCTTCCCCCTGCGCACCGCCCCGCGCCTGCGCACTGCTCCCGGGGCCGCTTCCGGGGCGGGGAGAGCGCACAGGAGGCCGGGGCTTGCCCTGTGAGAACCAGGGGCTGCGATGGAGGAGTTCCAAAGCTCATCCAGTTCCAACCTCCTGCCATGGGTAGGGATGCCTTCTACTAGAGCACGTTGCACGGGGCCTGGAGCAGGCTGGTCCCCCCCATTGATACACTCTTTTGGGCCACGGCCAAAAGAGGTTGCAAAACAGGCAAGCTCTCCCCTGATGTAGCTGGAGACAGTGGAGGGGCAGTGAGATGTGTTGTGAGGCGAGTGAGGACAGCCGTGTGAAGAAGAGGGGCCAGAGGACTTCAGGGCAGGGTGGTGAACTTGGTGGGATGCATAACATGGCCCCAGTGGCGAGACGTGAAGGGATAACATGGGGCTTCACACTGGATCTGTACGAGCTATCTGAACTCAGTGCCTTTGGAGCAACCTGGCCCCCTCCAGTGATAAACTGTTTTGGGCCACTCTTTTATACTCTTTTAGGCCCATGCCAGGCACCATCATGGGCCTGAAGGGAGAGGGAAGAGGCAGCTCCCCTGACTAAAACAGCACGCATTGTATGGATGCTTTCAGTGTCCCTGACCTTCCAACCATGGAATGAAACTTAACTTTTTTTTTTCCAATTTCAGTTGTCTTTTGCAGTAGGCTGTGTCAGGCTATAGGTCACCTTATTTTTGGAGGATTTTAAACTTCTATTTTCACTGATTTGTTGAATCCCAGGAATACACTTGTGTTAGAAGTCAGAGGGGAGGCAGAGCTGAAAAATGGGATGTGAAAACAACACTGGAGGTGGGAATCTACAAAACCTACTTACACTGGTATTCCTAGCAGAAAAGCTAAGTGTGTAGGCTCTGGTGCTACCTCCTGCACCTAGGGAGTAGCTTGGTCTTTCCCCAAGGCTGTCAGGACTTCAGGATAGCTTAAGCTTCCTTATCCAACACTCTGAAGCAAGGTTTTGTTTGCAAAACCATTAATCGTTGTCGTGGGTTAAGCCCAGCCATAACTCAGAACCACGCAGCCGCTCGCTCCCTCTCCCCTTTCCTCCCACTGCTCCCGGAGGGATGGGGAGGAGAATCAAAAGAATGTAACTCCCACGGGTTGAGATAAGAGCAGTCCAGTATCTCAGGTATAACACAAACCACTGCTGCTGCCACTAGTAATAATAATGATAAGGGAAATAACGAGGGAAGTGAATACAACCGCTCACTACCCACCAACTGATATCCAGCCCGACCCGAGCAGTGCTCTCACCCTTCCAGGTAACTGCCCCCAGTTTATATAGTGGGCATGACGTGCTGTGGTATGGAATACCTCTTTGGTCAGTTTGGGTCAGGTGTCCTGTCTCTGCTTCCTCTCAGTTTCCCCTCCTCCCTGGCAGAGCATGAGGCTCACAAAGTCCTTGGTCAGAGTAAACCTCACTGAGCAGCAACTAAAACCATCGGTGTTATCAGCGCTGAGGACAATCATCCTCACCGGCTTTCTATGAATGTTCTCTGAAGAAATATTTATTCTGGAAAGATAAAGGTCGTCTTATATTCTAGTACAAATGCAGTTAACACACACACACACACACACACACACACACACACACACACACACACATCATTTAGACTAACATGAGTATGCATGAGTGCATAGTTGAGACCACATGCATCTGAACATGAGGGAATGGGAAAAAATGATAGAACAACTGCCCTGTATGAAATATTTATTCTATTGAATACCAGAGATTATGGGAAAGAAATGCTGAATGAGTTCTGTTAAATGAGTTCTGTTAAATCACTGTCTTTGACAGATGCCTCAGTTTAATACAGCTTCAGCCTCCTCCCCCAGAAAAAAAGTCTACCTTGTTCTTGGGTGTTAAGCGTGTGCCAAACTGAAACAAGAGTTTCATTACTCAAAAGCAGTGTAAGGTTGAGGGAACAGATTTAACATTCGTTGCCAAACTCCCGCAGCGCCTCATGCAGTTAAAGTGAATTCTCAGAAGATAGTAGGCAGGGAGAAAACTTGGAACAGGGCCCTGTGCTCTGGAAATGGAGTTGCACTTTTCATCTGCTTAAAAAATGTTCTGAAAGGACAAGCTGTTTACTGCAATCAAAGGGCCTTATTCAGAGCATAGGAACACCATGTGTCATTTTGCTTGCCAGATTATTTCTGGGTTTCAGAAATCAACTGCAGTGCAAAGGTCATAAAAGGCAAATGCTGCCAGTGCTGTGGAACAGATAGGATGCATCCAACTTGATCAGATCACCTGCTTCCAGACCCTCAGAGACAGATCAGAAATTAAATGAAAAGGATAATTTTTCATTTCTATTCTCTGTGGAGAGCGAGAAGGTTGTGAAGAGTTTGGTGCCTGTTACAGAGATGGAAGGGAGCAAGGACTGAACCAGCGTAGATTTCACATGCTTCATGTGCTTTCAGAGCCCAGACCTAAGGGCAATTATGCTTGTCCTGATGCTCTTATGATATCTGGCTATAAGGTTGCTCAGTAGAGAATTGGGAGGTAATGGGCAAAGGTGGCTTGTTGCCTGAAATGTGCCACACAGGATGGGCAGTAATTTGCTGTTCTAGTTTCTGCAGCCTTGCTGTGGTGTTGGCTGAGAGGGGGCCAGGATTATCTTGTGGTGTCCCTGTAGTACTTTGGGAATCTGGATGGTTAAGGTGAGTGGAGTTACTTGCACCTGCAGGCGAAGTGTCAATGAGGAGTGAAGAACCGGACTGCTTTCTAGGTAAAAAGGCTAAATGGAAAACCTACTTTTTAAAAGAAAAGAGGTTTTGGTGTGTCAGGGTTACATAGGTGGTGGATTAAAATTAACAACCCAGCAGGTGAACTGTGATACTGCTTCCTCTGAAGAGACATGAATCTGTTTTTCATTTGTTTAACTGAAAAGGAGGCCCTCAGAGACTTCCTGAATAGTCTTGCTCTTTCTGGGAATAAGGAAATTCCTTTTCCTATTTTCTTTCCAAAGAGTTTGAAGTAAGCAGAGGTGATACTTAGAACCAGCCTTGGAATGTCAGCCAAGAGGAAATTTCACACACAGCATGCCTTTCTTGACTGGGATTATTAACCATGTGCCAGCCCTTTTACTGGAGTAATCAATCACAAAAAATGCATTTAAAAATCAGTGGGTACAAAAGCTTACGCTTTGGGTCATGCAGAAATGAAGTAAAAGCCCTTCAAACTGGAAAAAGGAGAGTGTGACAAGAAGATGGGTCTGGTGTTTTGGGGGTTTTATTTGTTTGTTCCTATTGTTTTCTGTATTAATTTTAATTTAAACTTGAATAAGGCATGGCCAAGAGCAATGCTCTGTCTGCCTTTCTGTGGCTTGAAAGTTAAATCTCTAATTGGTTCTAAGACATTTGAGCTGCACCTATTTCCCAGGCAGTGTGGCCCTTTGAGACTTAGTGAAGCAGTGGGTGACAGCATAGTCAGAGCATATCTGGCCTGGCAGTTGTGGCCTCCTTGTTCAAGTGTTATTCCTTGGAGTGGGGAGAGCAAGTGCTGATAGGGCAGAGAACAAGGGAGAGGGGCCTCTGCTTCTTTTCAGTGCTATTGGCTGGTTTTGTTTTCTGGCATCTATGAGACTTGAGCTTTGGAGACTAGCCATCGAACATCCTGTTTTCACTGAATTTGTCTCTGTTCTTCGCAGTCTCTTCTCCTTTCTTCTGGTTACAGAGTTGCTGCAATAGCACCAAGGTAAGAATAAGAAATGGCACTTCTTGGCTCATTTTTCACATGGGGATTGTTACGTTTGAGCAAGAGGTATCTGGCGTTCTCAGCAGATGAAGGAAAGTTCAGCTGGGATCTCAAAAATCACTGTGCTCTTTACAGTCAGGCAACAGAGACCAATATTGTAACTCCAGATTTGCTGAGTGCTGAATTAATCTAACCTGCTTGGAATCACACTGTGTGGATCCCTGTGCAGAAACTGCTAAGCAATGCCTGCACACTTTTAGCCCCAATCCTGCTCTGATTGAAGCCAATGGAAGTTTTAGGGTGAAGCTGCAAGAAGCCTCACATATGTTGGGATTGGCAAGGATAGCAGATGGGCAGTAATTCTCTTGTGCTGTGAGTGTGTGACCAAGCTGCATCTTCCAGCCTTTTGATAAAGTTGAATAAGGTACTGGATGAAGTTTTTTACTTCTAGAGTCCCCCCTGGTGCCGGGCTTGTTTCCCTGCTGATCCTGCATGGGAAGACTTGTTGCAGAAGTGATCTGTAACTCCCATGATCAGCACTTCCTGCAAAAAAAGAGAGAAGGGACAACTGGAATTTCTGTGTACATGGCCTCAGCACACTTAGCAGCTATTTCCGGGTAAGAGAGTCTAAGCAGGTAAGATACACAGGCTTGCTCAGTTAAGAGAAAGGCAAGAACTAGAAATGCAGGGCATAAGAGAAAGCTGAATGGAAACGTGTAAGAATGGAGGATGAGAAATGGAGAGGTATAGACAATCAGAAGTGGATACCTGTGGGTGAAAGGCAGCCCTAGACACTTCCATAAGAACATGCTGCTCCTATTCTGTACCTCTCCTCTGTGCTCCTTGGGTTGCAGAGATCCTTGGTTTCTCTCCCTTCTTACAATAACATTCATGAAGCAGGGCTCGAGTTTCTCTCAGGTATGTTGGATTTTGAATGAGTGAAACAGGGGATGTATTACAGGAAATAAGCAACATGAACATGCTTTCCCATGTCAGAGGCCTTGGCAGCAGGTTCTGGTGCTATTCTGAGATGTCAGCAAGCCCTGAAAGAGGTAGCAGTATGCTGTTCTGCATTTCTATCTAGTCCAGGAATCCTGCATAGAGATTCCAGGTAAGGAGCAGCTTCCTGAAGAGGGAAAGTTTATTTGGCTTTGTGTAGGGATGACTTAAGGAAAAACCTTCACCTCAAATGAGTTTATTGCAAGATTGTCTACAGTATATGAACCAAATGTGGTTAAACAGACTCTGGAGTGTGCGCTCTGTCCCCGTGGGGAAAAGCTGGGAGGGAGAGCAGTGCAAACCAGATGTCTGTCATTTAGTTTGATACCTTTCCTGGAAGGAGCTCAGATGATATGGACATGGAGCAGGGTCTGGGAGGAGGCACTGAACTTGATGGGAAATGGCAGAGTGCCTTCCTCCCTGTAGGAGATGCAGGTTTCAGGTACAAAATATGCTTTAAAAGCACTGGAATGAGGTACCCTGGAAAACCTGCCAAAGCTTGCTTTACTTCTTTTAATTTGTGTTCTTCTCTTTTTGACTGAAGATAAACAAGAGCCTATGAGGACTTGTGCCTCCCTCCTCCCTCACAGATGGAAGGCTCCAAGGAAAAAATCATTCTGAATATTGGGGGAGTCAGATACGAGACATACAGCAGCACCCTTCAGACCTTCCCAGGGACAAAGCTGTGCAGCCTCACAGAACCCCATGCCTCAAGCATCTACGACTATGATCCCACCACCAAAGAGTTCTTTTTTGATAGGAGCGCTGAGATCTTCAGCTACGTGTTGAACTATTATAGGACTAAACATTTCCACTGTCCTATTGACACCTGTAGGTCAGTCTTGGAAGAAGAGCTGGCTTTCTGGGAAATCAATGAGGCACAGCTAGCATCCTGCTGCTGGCTGAAGCTGAATAACAGAGAGGTGCAGCCAGAAGAGTTTAACATTTTGGATGAAAATGAGCAGACTGATGACCAGTGCCTCATAGTCCAGACAGAAAGAAGGGATCTGAGCTGGCGAACCAGATGGCAGCCAAAGATTTGGTCTATGTTTGAAAAACCCTTTTCCTCTTTCAGTGCTAAGGTAATACTACATGTGGTGATGGACACAGTGTGTGTCCTTTGGGATTGCCGGCATGGGTCCATAAAAAATGCTAATGGGTTCACAGCTTTGATAAATATGCTTTGAGTCCCAGATTGAAAAAGGAAAATAAAGTTCTCTCTTCTCATTAACAGACACCTCCTTCTTCTTCTCTCCTCCTCCCTGCTCTCTGTACAAAATGCATGCCCAGTGCCTCTTTAAAATGTCAGGCATGTAGAGCAACAAACGCAAGTCAGAGACTGCAGAGGGTGTTTTCTGTGCTGCTGGTGTTTCTGGAGCCAACATTTTGTGCTGCAGAGACCCCCAGTGTGAGTCTGTCTGCATTACTCCAGGTGTTGGGTATTTCCCTTCCTTACAAACTCTGATATATGAGTTCAGGTGGTTTTTTTCTTTGGCTTCAGTCTTCTCTACTATTTTTCCAATCTGGAGGGAGAAAATGCACTCCCTGTGAGCAAAACCGTGGTGATTTGAGAAAGATGAGTCTGGGATTGTACAGTGCCTGTGGAAGTGATCCTGGGGTTGTGGTGGGGCAGTGAGGTTATAGGATACTTTGTTGACCTAACTGCATGTGTGCCCTTTCCTCCCTCTGCAGTGCTTGGCTTTTGTTTCTCTGCTGTTCATCGTTGGAATTGTCATCGTATTCTGTGAGGAGACCAAGGCACAGTTTGAGTTCTTTACTGCTAACTTCACCTCAGTTGGCTATTCTGAGGTCTCCCACAATGACCATGAACCCTATTACCACCAGGCTGCCTACTTGCTTCATCTGGAGCTTTTCTGTGTCCTCTGGTTTACTTTTGAGTTCTCTGTGCGATTTTGTTTCTGCCCAGACAAGAAGTTGTTCTTCCAAAATCCCCTCAATGTGGTTGACTTCCTCTCCCTCTTCCCAGTTTACATTGAACTCTTCGTGGCTGGGCAGATTCAGAGAGTGCCAAGCCTAGGGCTTTGGTTGGGCTTCGTTCGAGTTATCTATCTCCTCAAACTCCTGAAGATATCCAAGCTGATAGAAACGCCACTGATCCTCAGGGTTCTGTGCTACACCCTCAAGTCTATCCTCAGAGAGATTTGCATCCTGCTGATGATTTTGGCGTTTGAGACCCTCTTCTTTGGCTCTCTCTTTTTCTATGGGGAGTTGCTGGGTAGCCATCCCTCCTACACGGGGGAGCTGCACTTCACTGACATTCTTGTTTGCTTCTGGTGGGCTTTGATCACACTCACTACAGTTGGCTATGGAGATATTATCCCTCTCACCACAGCTGGCCAAGTGACGGCAGCCTTGGCAGCAGTATTTGGCATGTTAACTATTATCATCCCAATACCCATTTTCCTGGTGAAGTTTAAAACTTATTATGACATTGCTATCTTCAAACAGAAGCTGAAAAGAAACAAGAAACTTTAACACTTCAGAAGCTCTGTTCCCCTTTTGCCTTTAGCAGTAAACCTTCAGCATGGTTTATTCCCTTTGGTGGACAATGGAGTGACAATAGTTCATACTGCATTTACTTGCTGCCTTAGCATATCTCAAACTATTGGAGAGGCCTAACATTGGAGTGCTTGGTACACAACTGATCAGACCTGTCAAATCCCATAAGTCTTTCCCACATTGTACCTCATGCCGTGCTCTTACATGTCACAGTTTCTCTCTCTCATCTAGCTGTTCAGGGACACACCTGTGATCATAGAATTATAACAGTTAGGGTTGGAATGGACCTTAAGATCATGTAGTTCCACCCTCCCTGCTGCTACATTATAGCAGCATTGTATGATTCCATAGCCTGAATGTGCACCACATAGCCCAGTTCCATGACCTGGGGCCACAGCATATTCTCTCAGCTGCCATACAACCCGTGGTACTAGCTGTGTCCTCCATCGACAGACCATAGTCTCATTCTGCATGCTGGGAAAGAAGATCTGAGCACAGCCCTGCTCTGACAGCGAGGAGGAAGCACTTCCAAGTTGTATTTTTTAGCAGTGTTCTATTTCCTCACTTTACCAAGCCAAGCCAGTACACCTGACCTGCCTGCGCTCACACATGGGTGGAAGGAAGGCTGCAGGCTGCTCTGTGGTCCTTAGAGCCAGCACTGTTTGATAACCTGCTCTGTGGGCTCACAGGAATTGCTGTGGCATTCGAGTAGCATCAAGGGAGCCCTCTGACAGCAAATCCTTCCTGGCTCTGCTGAAGTCAATGGCAAGCTTTCCTTGGCCTCAGTGAGATTAAAATTTCATTGGACACTTCCATTGGATCAACACATTCCAACAATTCTGGGTTTTTACGTAAAAATGTGACTATTACCCAAAATACCTATGGTTTTTGCTCTTCAAAAGGAAGAATGGAATCTACACTACTCAATACAGATCTAATGTCATTTACTTTCTTAAAGCATAGATATAAGGAATATTTATCTTTTAACTGGATAGTCTTACTTGTTACCTTTGTTTGGTTTTGAAATAACAAACATTGTTGAGGTATGAGAACAAACCACATCCCACTGTTTCTATAGCAGGATGATGTGCTAAGGTTATTTTGTTTAGTAAGTAAAAATTGCTGTATCCAATAACATTTCTGTATTGAAATTTCATTAAGGTTGTATTTTAACTGCAATTTTGATTAAGTTTTGTCTGTCACTAGGGTTTTTCTGTTCAGGATAGCATTTTAAGGATGTTTTACTTTTATTGAAATACCAGAAGGTAACTTCCCTCTATTCCAATGCAGCTACAATGAATTTAGGTTTTGTCTAAAGAGCAAGAAAAAATGCTGCAAACATTTCAGGCACAAGGCACATGAGAAGCTGGAGACAGCCTGGCAGTAGAAGACAGGTCTAGGTGTTCTCCTGCACCCACCTTGGGTATGTAGACAATGCAGGGGGCAAACAGGGTAAAGCCATGAATGCTGGTGCATGGGAGTTTTTCTTCATTATATTAAAGTGATGCTATGTTTTCTGTGGATGTATATAGTATTATTGAAAATTCATATTAGTTGCAACAGCTTAACAGAGATTTACCAGGTCTGTCCTCAAATTTTCCCCAGTACAGGAAAGGTCCACGATAGAATCATAGGCCATGACCCTATTTTAAGAATCCAAGTTAAAGCTGCTGGAATAGTTACATCTTGCTGGCTGCAGTTAGGAGGTGTTCAGAATGTTGCAGTACTTATTGCTGTGTTTAACCAGCTCTGCTGGTATACACCCATTTTTCAGCAGATGCTTCACAGGAGACAGATCTGCAATTGAGAGCAGCCTTCACTGCTGCCCCCAGAAGAGGGTGCTCTCTAAATGCACATGGCAGTCCCATTTCTGTGCAGGAAGCACGATGTGAACATCAGAACAGGGTATTACACTGCTCTCTGTAGTGTGACCCCATTTAGACCTAAATGTACGCTTGCTGAGCCCTACTGTGCTGGAGCAGCTGGATGAAGAGGTCATGCTCCCAGGTGAAGGTAAGCACAAGAAAGAAATAAGCCCTAATGCACAAGCTCATCTGCCACCAGCTCAGTGCAGCAAACTTAGCCTTTGGTGAGGAGTCCCGAAGCTAGAAATCACAGACTCATAGAATATCTCAAGTCTGAATGGCCCATAAGGATCACCAAGTCCAACCGCCTGCTCCTCACAGGACTACCTGAAACTAAATCATATGACAAAGGGCACTTTTGATTTCTTTCATGAAAATATCACTAAAAAGAACTCATTTCTGCAAAACAGTTTAGGATTTTCCAGCATAAAATTTTCTTGTGCTTGCTGACCAGTGCTGCTAACTTGTGCTGACCTCTGAATCGCATGGAATAGACACAGATCTCCTCCTTTCATGTTCCCAGTGCTCCCCAGTGTGGAAGGATGAGGAGTTGCTTGTCACTGGGAAACACCAACACAGCTTCACACAGTGCAAAAGTGATGGGGAAAAAAGACCTGTTCTTGGTAATATGGCCTTGCCAAAGCGTTTGAAAGTCCCTTCCCCTCTCTAATTCATGCTTCTTGCTCTCTTGTGGAGCCTCTTAGCTCCTCTTCCCAAGCACTGTGAGCAGCTGTGCTTTGTGAGTGATAAGGGAAAATCATTGCTGCCTGCTGGTGTAATCCACCATAAGAGCAGTTTATGGGACAATTCCTGATGACTCCAGCACAGCCCAACGAAGGAAAGTACAGAGGCTTATCCATGGTTATGACATGCAGCGTTGGCCCTGCTGTGGAGCTGAGTAACTGTAGCCCTATATCAGCTTTCAATCTCTTGCAGTGCTTCAATGGGAGTAGAGAGGCAGGTCTCAGGGCACAGGTGACCTAAGGGTAGATAAGAGCAATGGCATGGGGATGGATTGTGTTGGACTCCCAGACATGGGTTTTAGGGAGGTGGTTTCCTTAACCAGACATGCTATGCGCTTTGTGCTTAAAAGACACTATCTTTCTAGGTTGCTCTGTTCACCCCCCGTGTTTGTTTTCTTGTCCTGTTCCAAAACTCTTTGAATGAAATAGGTATTAACTCCCACTTGCTTCCCAGGTCATGACAGCCCAAAGGCAGTTCAAAATTCACTATTCCTGTCCCTTTCTTCTGAGTCTGTTTTCTTAATAGTGCCTACACTTCATGGGCTGAATTTCCAGTGATTTTAGCAATGTTAGCTCCACAGCATCCCCCAATACTCCAAAGCATGTGCTTGCAGTTGTGCTCGTTGCGGTTCTGACAACTCTGTTCTCCCTGTGCTTTGAGTGTGGTAGTTATTGGACCCAACCTGCTCAAGGCTGGGATGAAGAAGCCATAAGCCCCTTGCAAGAAATCTCTTGGTCAGGTGTTTCATTATGGGAATTGCCAAACCCCATCCACTGTTTCTCTCTTCTCCTACAAAGGCTCATGGATGCTGTCCATGGAAGTGATAGGATGTCAGACATATTTTACCCAGGAAATGAATGAGAGGGGTCACTGACACAGATCAGGTCACTTTCAGAGGAACAAGCCATGTGCTCAGCTACCTGAGTTCTGGCAGCACCATGACTGGTGACAGCTCCTTGTGCCAGTGAGGGCGGTGACTTTCCTGGGCCCTCAGGGTATGGAAAGTTTAGGGTCTGGTGCAGCACACTCCCACAGCCGGCATCTGCACAGGGCATCTCCACAGCCTGTCTGTATGCAGGGTGACTCAGCAGCAAAGGGAAGTTCAGTTACAGTTGGTGAAGTCAGCGTCTGGTGAAGCCCCAGGCTCTGACTCACAAAAAGCAAATGCCTTTGACATATGCGGGAAATGAATGGAAGTTCCAAAATCTGGATGCTCCTTGGGACTCAGGAACAAGCACCCAAAAGAGATACACTGGCTCTCAGATAGTCATGCTATTAAACGTTTGCTCACTGAAGTACTAGTGCCCCTTCCAGGTATTTCTGCCTTTCTGTGTTTCTGTGCAATTGTAGCACTGCTTTCCTGGACAGGCTTAGGTTTAATGTTGGTTTTTACTTGTCTGAAAAGGTTTTTATTCAGGTCCCACAAAGTTTGCAAAGAAGTGATGGAAAATTCTTAGTGATTGAATGATGAGAGTGTGTGTGTGTATGGGAGGGCCTGTCCACTTGCTGTGGGCGGGCAGCTTGTAACCACTCTGATGCTACCACATCTTGAACTGACCGATTTTCAGCTTAAAGGTTGTGCCTGGAAAAAACAGCTGCTTGTGGAAGGGCTAAATGCTTCCTACCTAACACTGAGCATCCTTCTTTCAGCCTATCCCTGCCTGCAGAGGAGCAGTAGAGGAAAACTTGTGAGGAGTGACTCCCATAATTCCCCACCTTACTTGGAGCCACCCTTCCTTCTGGCTGCCAAACTGCAGAAGGCATTCTCCAGCGAGGCCACCTTTGTCACTATTTCAGAAGGAGGCATGGATGATGTAGTGAGGTTGACTTCAGTCTACTGTTTGCATGGGTTTCTTTGAAACAAATCTCCATCCCACCATTTATTTGGGAGCAAAACATGAAGTGAGTATCCCTCCCTCACCCCAGCCTTGCATGGAGTTACCCTCTGTGTTAGCAGCATTAAGAATCATATCCATATCTATTCAGATGGATGTTGGCAGCCAGTATGGTTCTGTACTGTAGCTCATGTTGTAGTTTTAGGCTATTGCTTTTATTGCTGTTAAAAGCCTTGTGACAGAGTGCACAAGTCTCTCACATCGCTGCCTTGGAGGTATATTTAATAATAATAATTAGGGTGCATGGGACTCTTGATCTTTAAACTGCTCCCTCAAGCTCAGCTAATTAGTCTACACCATTTACCAGCGGGTAAACCCTTCCAATTTGTCTTTGGGATTATTAAAGAGAAGAAAGCCTCAACCCCTCATTCAGCAAAGCATTTAAGACTGTGCTTCATTTTAAGCATGTCTGGGAGTGAAGTATGTGTTTAAGTGGGCTTATGATCACAGCTACCTGCTAGGGGCAAAATCTTCCTGTTTATTCTGGACCAGGATATACCCATGCTGGAAGATGAGTGTGTGAGCTTTACTGGGATGGTCTTTCCCTAACAGCCCTGATCAGCTGCCTTGGGTAATAACACTGAGGACATAGCACTGACAGCTTCAATGCAGTTTGTGTCAGCTTGTCACTGGCCACAGATATGTATCTGAGTAACTTAGAACGTGAAGTCACATCTTCATGGTTCCTGTTCCTTCTGCTAACTACTGCAAATGGCACTTTGCACACACAAATACAGGGTCTAAGTGCCTCTGTACTTTTTTCTGCTATTGAACTTTATGAGCTGGGGATCTGCAATTTCTAAATGCACTGAACAGAGCCATGGTGCTCTGAGAAAGACTTCCTGCATCCTACTGGTTTTGCGGAGTGACTGACAGACGTTTTGCTCTTCCATTTGGGAGATTTCTTGCCATGATTTAAAGCTGGCAGTGTTGCTGATGGTGCACGAATGGAGAGAAATAGACAACGGAAATAAAATCATTTTGTTTCTTACTCTCTTCCTTCCTACCCTAGTTATGTCTGGACTTGGCAGGATGAGACAAGAAAGGAGCGGGCAATTGCAGCAGAAAAGGGAAGGCCACAGTTACATCAGCCAAGCCTCCAATACTTCCATCAGCTGAGACAAGCGTGGCCTCATTCTCTGCCTTTGTTTCAGCTGTGCCTGAGGCCTGGTTGACACTTGAGGTCTCAGCAAGGATAAACAAACACACCGCTTTATTATCCAGCATTTTTTCAGCTCCAAGTATGTATCATTTGGCTGAGGATGATTTACACCAAGGCAGAGATGGTGAGTGCTTTCACTGGCCAGGGGATGGGAGATGGACACTTGTCTTCTGGACACTTCCTTATATCTTCCTCTTTCTTCCCTCCAGTATTAGCAAGCTGGAAAGCACAGAATATCTAACACTTCATGCTGTGCATCCCTGGTCTAAGCAGTGCATAAAATCCAGCCCAACCCCAGAAACTTCACTCCCCTCTGACTGAAACCTGATGCTGGCCTCAAATTGTGGCACGGTCTCTGGGTGAAGTTCACTTCCATCCTTCCTCTGCCACAAGCCCTGAAAGTGTGGACCTCCTTCGGGTCCATCAGCCTATGCTATATGTTTTCATCTGTTCTGGTGTGGCAGGGAAGTTTAGAAGTAAAACTGCTGGGGAGATCTGTGACTCAGCTGTGCTAGGGAAGGGAGAGTTTCTTTTTC